GTTGAACTTCATCAGATTCCCCTCAGGTCAATTCTTTAATTCTTTAATCTGTTCCTCTGAATGGCACAACCATTTGGTGTATCAGCTGCTCCTCCCAGTTTTGTTCTGTCTGCAAACTTGCCGAGGGTAAACTGTTCCATCACCCCATCCATTAATGAAGACATTAAAGAGTATCTGCCCCAGTAAAAACCCCTGGGGGTCAGAGCACTAATGACTTGCCTCCAGCTGGGCTACTGGTGGCAATCCTTTGGGCCCAGCTACCCATCCATTTTTCAGTCTTCCTCACTGTGCATTTTGACAGTTTATACTTAAGGATGTTGTAGGAGACAGTCTCAAAGGCTTTGGTAAATTTGTAGACATCATCCAATGTCCTATCCATATCCTGTCAATCTGGCTGTCCTATTAAGGATGACAAGTAGGTTAACCATTACTCCCAATCAACTTTTTCTCCATTTGTTTGGAATATAGTTACTAGGATTAGTTACTCCATCACCTTTCCTGGGATGGAGGTAAGGCTGACTAACCTGTATTTCTCTGTCTCATCCTTTTTACTCTCTTTAAAGATATCACTTTATTATAGCAATTCTGTCTGTTTATAGCTAGTCAATTCCAGCAAAAATAACTAGGAAGAAAAATAGGGCTCGAAATAAAGTCTATTAAATTCTTCTTTCTGCTAGCATTCTATGTCCCAAGAAAGACCTTGCTTTCTTTCCAATATTAGACAGCTGATTAAAAAAAAAAAAAAAACACAAGACAAAAGTCTCTCTTAATAGAATATAATTATGCCTGTTTTTTAGAAGACACATAACTTAGATATTCTTCCAGAATTAGACTGAGAAGAACAGACTTGAGAGCTTCCACAATATTTAGATATACTGATATTTTTGTTGTCTACAACTGTTTGAAAATTTCGTAGAACATAATGAAGACACAGCATTTTTGAAAAACCCATTCTGAATTTATGTAGGCTTATATTACATAGAAAAAATACATACAAGAATTTTACCAAACCATTAGCACAGATTCCTCACTTTCAAATAAGGAAATGCCAGAGTTTTTGTGATCTTTTTTTTGTGTTTCTGATTCCCATATTTTTATATGCATATGTATCTTCTAGTATCATGGTCACATACTTCGTTTTCCTTCAGATCCCAAAATCATCAGTGCTCAGAATAGCCAATGAACAACTAATCAATATTCTTTTTCATCTCTTTTTATTCAATATTAAACTCAGAAACCATTGATCTTTTGGGAATCAAGAACAAAACTCATATGCAAATTTTGCAGCGAAGATTCAACTATAAAGCCCTGTGAATTTTAGCTTTCTCTTTTCTCCTTTTCCTTTCCCCTTTTCCTTCATCTTTTGCCTGACCTCAGACCCACTTCTCCTTCTCTCAGGTCCTCTGTTTGTTCCACTGCAATGAACCTCTCCCTTGCGGGTCACCCAATGTGTGGCAGCACAAGTCTTCAAACAGCAAAACCAAACTCTAGCTAAGAGCACAGACGCTCCCTCAGCCAGCGTGGCTTTCAGCTGCCAGGGCAGCAGGCACGGAGACAAAAGGGTGGGAACAGAGAGCTGAGGATGGTGCCAGAGCAGGACTTGGGCAATCCAGGGTGACACTGGATTAAACTGCTGTTGAATCACACTGTAAGTGACACTGGAGTGTGTCTTCTATGGCCTGGGGTGGTGACATTAATCCATACATAAAGGGAGTGGGAAAATGCTCCTGCACTGGGGATAGTAGGCTCCATCCACACCAAAACTTTGTAGATCTTGCTGAAATACCTCTTTGTCCTTCTGTCTTAACATTGACAGTGGTTTCAATAACAGAATGGGGGTGACATGAAACGATTTATTGTAACTTGTAAAAAAACTTCCATGGATTTTCTGTTAGCTTGGTTTTTGGTTTGTTGTGGTATTTTGGTTTGGGGTTTTTGGCATGTGTGTAAGGCTTAGATGTGCTATAAAGTTCTTGTGCATTCATCAGGCTGTACAGTGCCCTCCACGGGATTTCTTTGGCTGTGCACAAGTTCAGAGACCAGCATGCGGCAACTCAGGCTGAGCACAAAAGAAGCACAGGATGAGTCTGCAAGGTGCTCTGTAACAATCAGCACTTTTAGCTGTAATCCAGAGTGTAAGAACCGCATAACCTCTTCTTCAGATTATTGTAATAATGCAACTGTTCTTGTTTTGTATGGTGCAGCTCTCTTAAACCCCTATTACACTGTATCTGCACGAGCATTCACACAGATGTTCGCTAAAAAATTTCTGTTCCAGCTAAAAAGCATAGGGTACACTATGCACTGAGCAATATATGGACATATATAGACTTCAGGAACAGAAGTGGTATTAAATATATGACAATATGTAGGTGTGAAAATACAGAAACACATGAATAGTTGCACAGCCCACACATCTCCACTAGATTCTGCAGAATAGCATCAAATAATGCACAGGTATGGAGATGATGAACAGATGCTGCACTTATTTGTCAGTCAGCAGAGCTGTGGGAGGAAGAATTAAAGGCAATTTTGAAACAGTAATAAGAAAGTGAAAGATAAATTCCAGATGGACACAGAGTTGGAACTGCTCTGCTGACCCAAGCAGAAAATGGAACAAGCTGTAAATTACTAGAAAAAAAAAGAGTTTTGTAAAAGGAAGCCATGCTATATAGGCATTAGTGTTCTTTCCACACCACACAGAGCTTAGAGCATGAATATACATCAGATTTAAATACTCCTGCAAAGAGTTAGAAAAAATCCTTTACATATGGTTACTTACACAAACAGCAATGAATGAATAAAAAGATTGCACAGCTACATGTATCATTAAGCAGGATACTCTACAGATTCTCACATTAACACTTGCATAATTATATATGATACTTCCAAACATTACATTTTTTTTTCTCTGTTCACTTCTTTAAAACTCACAAAAAGAATGAAATTCTCTTTTAAAACTGCAGACTGCTGCGTGCCTAAGCAAACCATTATTTGCTTGCTCATAATCATCTTTTCCCTGTCTGTTAGAGTCACTGATGCATTAATTGCTTATCAAAACCTGAAACAGTTCATGAGTCACTCTGAAGATAAAATAAATATTAATGAGCCCATTTCAATTAAATTCCCATCCTCTGCCTCTTAAAGCTGAAATACTGTATTTATTACATGCCAGAGTTAAGTCTTGATACCTAATAAACGGGAAAATATGAAGTATGCTAACTAGATAACCATGTTTCAAGGGATCACATTGCATTATAGTCTTATTTGACCAAATTAGTGATCAAAGAAAGAAAGGACTGGTCAATTATAACAGAAATTAGGTGAAAGAGACGTCTAGGTCTGGTGCAGTTGGAGTCAAAAATGAAGTATGTGGGTTTTGAAGCTGGGAAATGCTTCTATATCGGATGATTTTAACGTAGCCTTAGTAAACACATGATCTTCAAACAAACAGATTGGCAACAAATATCATTACAAATGAAACTTTAGAAATTCTTTACATAGAACTTTTAGAAATTTCTTACATTGAATGAAGGATGGGGAGAAGGAAGCCATGCAGTTTTCAGGAACATCAAATTAAAGCACTATATTTTGGATCAATATGGAATTTTCATTAAGCAAAAACACTAAGTGGAGGGCTCTTCACCCATTTAAAATTCAGTGAAATATATACTATTTTGCACTGTAAAAACTGTCATTTTGAAAACATGAATGTGCTGAGAGATTTTTAAGTCCGGGCCAATGATAACTTACTGTTGAAACTCCAAGTCTAAAACTTTTCAAATTAAATGACACAGGATGAAGTAGGAAACACTAGTTGTTCCCTTGAACATTTACTTGCTTGTTCTAGCTTGTTCCTGGAAATGGTAGGCAAGAAAGACCCCAGAGAAATCAAAGGAACAACAGGTTATTTCCCTAAAAGGCAACTGTAGGTCTGAAATAACTTGAGAATTAGAGAGACATCAGTGAACCATTTTGACTCAAAATGTTAGTGAAAAACCCTTTTACAAAAAAAATGACAGCTTTTCTCAAGAAGCTGAGCAGCAGGATAGTATGGCTCATGAAGCTGGCTGGTATAAAGCTGATATAGTGGGAAATCTGAAGAAATGAACCCTGCTATTCACAGATTACAGCAGGATAAAGAACCCATTTTATCAGACTCTGGGTTTTAGTAAGAAATGAAGAAACCTCTATTTCTGATATTAGGCTAAGCTGTTTATTGTCAGAGGTCATGTCAGCTGCTGAGCAGAATACACAGCCTTAACTTCGGCTAATCAGTTTTGAGGCATCCTAGAAGTGCTCCTGCTCCTCAACTGATGTCACAGCACAGGGACACCCAGAAACCCTCTTTAGGGTGTACTAGAAAACTAAAGGCATCTCCCCAAACCAAGCTATCCGATCCAGTACTGAATACAGAATATGCCACTGTAAGTGAAGTATGCATGTAATAATACAAGAAAAAATGTGGATTAAATATAATACAGGAAAAATTTGGATTTTGGTAGTTACCCTCATAAATTAGCATATATACTAGCTTTTTTCCCCTAAAGTGGAGTTAAATAGTGTCCACTTTCCATAACAGTATCCTAAAATTCTTAACACATTCACAGCTAACAGAGCTCTCACACATTTTTTTTTTCTCTTAATTGTAAGATAGGACTTATTTTATGTTCCAAATGAACTTCCTCTGAAATATTCCGATTTCCAAGATTATGGAAATAATATATGCAAAGTCATAGGTTCTTTAAGGCAGGCCAGAGGTATCTAAAATAAGGATTGTTTACATTTATCATAATGTGCACATAAGATAATAATCAAACAACTTTCTTATGTTAATGAAAAGTATCTTTTGTGCTCCCAGAAACTGCTTAGTCAAATAAAGCTGAACTCAGTGACAAATGTGTACCTCACCATAAAAATGGCCAAACAAATAACAGCTATCAGTGATACCTTTCCTACTTTTGTGTTTGCCCTGAGTGTGGATAAAACCAGCGTCTTACCTGCTCAGATACCTCTGGCCCGTTGATCCCAGCCTGTACCAGCGCATTGTGAACGAGGGAATGGAAGTTCAGCAGCACGTGCTCGATGCTGTGTGCTCCACTCAGGGCTCCTGAGAGCTCCTCCAGGGCCTGGATGTAGCCCTGCCAGTGGAGATCAACTTCTGCTAGGTGGGCCAGGCAGCCCCGGAGGATGTTGAGGCAGTAGCCCAGGCAGGGCTTGCTCAGCGTCAGCCCCTGGCACTGGGGGCAGTATTGCATCCTCAGCAAAGCCCTGCTGCACTCTCTGGAGAAGGGCAGGTGGTCTGTCGTGTTGATCACTTCAACCCCCAGGTTCAGAGCCTGCAGTAAAGTCCGGCTGGGTAAGAGGGATCGTCCCATCTGCCCTATGGCCTTTCTGGGAATGCTGCCAAAGGGCCTGATGTCCCTTCTCGCCGCTCGGAGGCACTCCGCGTACTCCAGGGAAATGTCAGTCGGACCAGGGTTAATCACATGGTTGTACACTACTGGAAACAGGGTGTCAAAGAATCTATTCACAAACTCCTCTGTGCTGGCGTCTGTGCCAAATAGGAAGAGCCCAACATCTGTGAAAAACTCCTGCACGTGCACAGCAGCCTCAGCAGCCATGTTTCTATACGCATTGCAGAAAAGTGTGCTGGTGTAATTCTCAGCCAGTCTGATGAGCATTTCAAAGGTTTCTGCAATCAATCAATAAATTGTTCATTATTTTTAAGGTTTTTTAAAAAAAGAAATTATAGCAAGAACATACAACAATTATATTAGGATAATTTACATATATCACAAAATAATTTTTCCATTAGAATTTTTGAGGAGACAAACTTTGCACAAACTACAACAACTGTCAATTCTATATAGGGAAGCACCTTACATGTAATGTTACAACACAATTAATAATCCATATTTTCTTTGCAGGTTGCATTAAACACAACCTAACAAAAATACATAACAGGAAATAATTGTAAGCTGAGTTATTAAGTTACAAAATACAGAAAAGTCCTATTGTATCTGTCTATGCATATAAACACATGAGCTCTCATCTCATGACTCAATCTGCAATGAGAGCTGAATGCCATTCCTCTTACCATCCTAAATGGATGGGCAAAATTAACATTAAACAATATAAACTGTTCAATTCTATTAAAACTTAGTAACTCTTAAAGATCAGTTTTTATTTTGTGTCTTCCAGAGCAAGCAGATGTTCCAAACACACATAAGAACATGATTTTAAGCAGTGTTTTTTCGTCTGGCAATTGGTATGGTCAAGAACTGCTTTCCTCAGGAACTGATGGATAATCCCTTGCTGAGCCTCAAAAACTGGTTAATGAATAAAGCCTGAATGGACAAACTTGCATTTCACACTTTAGGTGGTAATCCTTAAACACACTGAGTAGTGTTTAATAAAGCAGTTTAAGTATAGTGGAAAAATATCCTCTTCTGACTTGATCTATGATTTGCAGGTAAGGAAAAACATCAGCTTTCAAAACGGAAAAAGAATGTTTGCATTGAGGAATTCCCTAGATCTGCTTGAGAAGGTTGCACTTTAGGGAAGGCAATGAAGCAATATATGGATGAAAAAGAAATTTGGCTTAGAGTTGAGAACAGAAACACAGAAAGACATATTACAAATATTAACCCATTTTATACACTGAATGGCTACAACTCAGTAACATCTATTTCAAGTTGTACAAGTTTTAATGTATTTTTTCCCATTTGTTTTTAAATAAGACAGTAAAAATAAAGTAAGGAAAAGCATGAAGTACAGTTAATACTGTCTAAACAGTGATGTTAAATACAGGCAGAATCAAATAGTCTGAAACCATGTCAAGCGATTTCAGAAGCAATCTGAAGTCTGCTGGTCAGTCACTGACTGAAAAGTATAGTAGAAAAACCAGAATAAATGTAAAAAAGACAAGACTGGCTACCACATATTTTACAAATACCTATGCATAAGAGCCTTATATTATGATAAAATGTTTGTTCCATTCAGGTCAGTGAAAGGATTCTTGCTGACTGCAGAGAGTTTCAAATTGCATGCCTTGTGAAAAGATCACATATACTTCGTATTTAGTCTGTCTTTTCTCCAATAAAAGAGAGATACATGCTTCTAAATCACAATCATTCCTCCGCTATCTGTAAGTCTTAGTTTCGTATTTCATGCCACTCTTAAATTGAATTTGTTGTTCTCTTTTCTGTTCTTCTAGCATTCACACATGTAAAAAAAAAGTGTTGACAGCTCACAGTAAGGAGTCAGAAAGTGCATCTCACTTGTGTGGCTTTTTGGGGTTTTTTTATTGCTATGTCACATACATATGTGAACTTCCCCTTAGGTGAATTTCACTACAGTCATTCATAGATGCCAAATTCATAACGTCAAAGAGATAATGCCAAAAATCAAAGAGATTCATTTGTTTCAAAAGTCATACTCCTAAAGTCAGTACCCTTCATGAAGCTAGGTTCCCACCAATGGAGACCTATTCAACACAGAAAAGCCTCTTGGGCTTATACTGTGAGAGAACACGCAGAAGTGCCAGCTGAGCAACTCTGCAGCTCCCAAACCTCCACCAGCCCTCACACCTCATCCCTGAGCTATGGGAGACCCATTTCCTGCTGGAGCAGGCAATGAGGCACAACAAATCAGACAGGGCAGATTAAACTGATCAAAATGCCCACTTTAAGGCACCCGAACCAAGGATGAGATCTCCACCAGCTGTACAGGCAGTTTGGACACCCAGATCTCATGAAGGCAGGAGTACATGGGAAACTAAATTAGAGCCCTACATTATTAAATATCTAACTGTAATATATCTAATTTTTACTGGGGGAAATAAGGAATGCAAAGAACAAGCAGGCCTACCAGAGAAATTTTATTTAGTCGCCTAAGAGTGTTTGATAGCATTTTTAATGGTAGATGCCATTTTTATTTGCCTGTCTAAAAGGTCATTTGTGTTCTGCAGATCTTATGTCATATCTGTAGGCTCTTTATTATAAACATTCTGCATTTAAAATGATACTAGATGGCTGTGCTGAGACCACTGAACTAAATGCTAGGTAACTAGTTATCACAGACTTGACAACCCTTTATATAAAATCCTGGAGCAGCCTAGAAGAGCAAAGACCAAAAAAGTGAAGTAAAATTGATTCTTGGTTTAGATGGCCTAAAATAATAAAATGTGAAGAAAATTAAATCTTTTTTTATTATTACTTTCCTAGATGGAAACCATAAAATCTGTGATCTAAATGTCTGTTACAATCCATGGTTGCAGTATCCTATTATCAAGTGCACAAATATTAGTTGAAAGAATAAATCATGCTGCATGTGGACAATCAATAGATTTTACAATGTGGTCCAAACAATAACAAATCTTCAATACTGAACTATATTTCTGGTGCCTCAGCAACCCCCAGATGAATGAGTACAATAAGCAACTACGTAATTTACTGACTATTTCTGCCTTTCTGAATAGAATGTGATGATACTGGCCACTTGTGTTTACAATTCTGCATCATGCTTTTAATCGTCATTTCATGATTTCTTACAGAATTTGTTAAGTTTTTTTTCTACTGACACATTTTCTACTTTATAAACATGGCTATTTCAGAGATTTGTTTTGCTCTTAGCAAATTTGCTAACAGAGACCAAATCACACCTATGTTTACTTTCAATATTGAATAGCTCCTGTGAATACCTTACGATGGCAATCTATGTCATTAACAGCACATTCTGAAACTTCAGTGACAAGTCAAGTTATACTGGTTCAGTACTGCAAACTGTAGCAGTGTGTCTATCTTTTAAATCTATGGGCTGAGACTAATATAATCAGCATTAATTACTCAGCAACATAGAAGTAGTGATGAGTTTTCAATCAGTATAAATGTAATACATATAAAATACATTTTAAGTATACCTAAGGTGAGCTAGACAAGCTCTTTCTATTGTTATCAAATGATTTTTAATCTTCAGGGTCAGAGTCTCTTATCTCCATAATTTATGAGATCATCATATTAACTGCTATACAATATTCTACAGATACTTTGTGCAACCCTACTATTAACAATGTCTAGTTTTTACACAGATTACGTCAATTTTGTTTTTCTTTGGTGACAATTAAAACAATTGTTTGTACATTCCTAAATCAAATTTCAGGGCTGTCAATATTTTAACCAATTCTTTTTTTTAAGAACAGTAGTATTTCTCTTCCTGATTTTACCAAGAAAAAAACATGAAGCTAAGAAATTTGTAAATGAGAACTTGTTTATGTGCAGCATTTTTTCAGCTGATACTTCATACCAGAACATATATACATTATTTTTTTTATAACAGTGTGTTTTAAAAAGTGATTACAAAGTGATGCAAAAATAACTATCAGGTAATTGCTTTAAAGGGTTTGCTCACTTCCTTTAGCCTTTCAGTTCCTTGGAGCCATGGGTAGTTCTAAATTACCAAGAAGTTCCAAGGTATCAATTAGTCCAGTGGATAAATGGGTTTAAAATAAAAATCAGAAGAATACACATGACTTGTTTACTAGAACAAAGAGAACAAGTCCAGCTTTTTATTCCTGCACATTAATCAGATTTAATGGAAATATTGCACTGAATGAAATAGAATTTGGATTAGATTTTAAATCAGCCCTGCAATTCTCACCCGTAATAGTTTTGGCAAAGGGTCTTTATACTATAGATACCTTAGAAAATTAATTTGAAATACATTTCTATTTGCTATTGTAAAACAAATACATTTTTTAAATTTTACCCTTTCTTTACACAGATGTTCTATAAGTCTGCTAAATGAGACAATGCATGGTTCTAGATGCTGAGCACTACCTTTTGAAGAACATATGGTATGTAATGCAGACATAGTCTAATAAATTAAAAATCCAGCATTAGTAGTGGTCCAACAAGTTGTGAAGTCTTATAATTTGGTAATAATTCACCAGCCTAAATTACATATTATAAATTAATTCATATTTAGGGTAACAGATAGAACTCAATAAATTACAACCAGACAGGTTAAAATCCATCCTTGATTTATGACATTGTATTTAGCAAGACTGCCTTTCACAGTCCAGAGGAGATCCAAAATTGATGAGCCTGGACTATCTGAAGGGTCAGCCCATAATACACAGGAATCGATAACTAAATCCAAGCAAACCTGGAAAACCTACACATGTTATAAACTTATTATGATTTGAAAAATTCTATGGGAAAGTATTGCCAGCTGCCATTGGTGTTTGGTGATCTTATAGGTTTTTCTTCTGATTATGGGTAGCACAAACAAACCAGAAGCATCACAGACCCTCTTCTAAAGATTTATAGTACAATCAAATGTACCTTGCATGCATTGTTCTTCCAGAGTCACAACGAATGTCTCAGGTACAAGTTACAGCCAGGTAAGCAAAAGGCATTCAAAAGTTATGAAAAAAATTAGTGGAGAAGAAATTAATCCACACAACATTACATTAATTCTATCTTTTTTTTAAAATACATCAAACAGAGAACTATGGGTAGGTGGGAAATTCAGTGTAGTTATTCCTACTTAGCAAGTCACAGACATAATGCAAAATCCCTGAATCATTTAGAATATCAGAAAACTGAGCTGGAATGATCGAGTCTTCAAGACATATAAATGAATTATAAAGAATGAACTCATTAGGGCATTACCTGTGAAGGTTATATGGGA